AAAGATTGTACAGACTTCAGATAAGACTTCAGATATAAGACTTATCATGGTTTGATACCACTTATATACACTTACACTTATTTACACTTATACTTTGACGCATATTACAAAAATATACAAGCATCAAATATTAAATTCTCATGAAACCATATCGAGTCATGGTACTATCGTGGAACTTTGCAGGATGTCAACTCAGCTATTGCAGGCATAAAAACGAAACGTTCCATTCAGTTCGTCGATTGGTGAGTTGCATCTCCGAATAGTCAATAATTGTTACAAATACGGAATACTGTTCATGCATGTAGTATCGATCACAGTATCTATAACAGCATATTAACACAATCCCAATCATAAGGTGCAATGTCAAATCTTGATAGCTGTTTCGATTGGTGTGGCGAATACAAACAAAATCTTACGCGATGCGACTCCTCCAAATTCACAAGTATTGAAAAAGTGATTTCATCGTGTATGCTTGAAGCTCGACTGTAGGTTAGGATTGATTAAGGTGTCCAACGGGTTTCAAAGTTGGTATAAACTATCAACCACCAACAGTGGTACCTGGCGGTGATCTGGCTAAACTTCAGCGAGCAGTTTGCATGCTCGCCAACACAACATCGATCGCTGAGGCGTGGGCTCGGCTCGATTACAAATTCGATTTGATGTACGCCAAACGGGCATTTGTTCATTGGTATGGATCTATTCATTTGAGAGCATTTGACCTATTCGACCGCAAAATGAGCCTTTGCCTAGATGAACCCATCGCCAAAATTGAACATGCACTCGACATGAAAAAATTTCTTCGAACAATCCAATGTATGAATCATTAACTAGGGAAGTAAATTCATTCAGTTTAGCCATATGCTTGCACATGAGCATTATCCATCGTAAATACAATGTTTTTCTGATAGCAGAGAATAATCATCTGAAGTTGACGATAAAAGAAACTCGACAGTAGCTGATCAACTTCTTTTCTCTTCCAAACTACAATTTTCATTTGTATCACATATAGATAGCTTGGAACTGATGCTCCAATTATTTCTGATTGTTCAAGACGGACATATCAAATAAAGTAAATATGTCGGTATTATGAAATCGCTCGGCTTGTTGTTATTGGTTTGGCAGTTGGCGATATCTGTGAAACTAAGTATTATCCGTCGACAGTATATACACTTCTCTGATAATAGAGAATTTCCT